TAGTTTTCGGTTCTGGGTGCCCTAAAAGAGGACACTTAGCCGACAATTTGGCTCAAATAGCTAAAACCCAAAAGTCACACCCCGAACCAGGACGTATTGCTATCCTTTTAAGTAAAAAATAACTACAAATAACTTACCTGAAAAATGAAGGCGTCTAACTTTACACCAAAAAAACCATACACTTTTTCCCATTGTTGCAAGCACCCGATGACGATTAGGTAGATATCAACTAGAAGCATGTACTTAATGGTTATAAAGCTTATTTTAACACAAAAAGAATAAAGCACTAGTCGAAAAGCAGCAATCAAATATAAATAGAGCACAATATTAAAATTCAAATTAAAAACTATATAAAAGACAAATACTCTAAAAGCGCAAAAGATTAGAACCAAATAAAATGAATAACCATAATAAGCTAAAAATCACACTAAAATTGCAAAAACTATTACTGTAAAATCATGAGATTACATCAATAATGCATATGCGTCGGAGTATCGCAAATGTCAAAAGTACAATGTTTCCATGAAAATTTAGCTATATTTTTAGCAGTATTATAGAACCATTTATACCACGCGCATCCAACGATATTGGCGTTCCACAGTTCACTGTATTTTCCTCACACCTCTAGTATAAATGATTTGACATAACGAAACTAACAATAATTATAATTAATGCAGAGTAATAAGTGATTCGTGAATTCTAAATAAAACAATTATTATATAAAAGTGTAAAAGGAAATGTAATTTATTTCCCTATTTTCTTCTGTAATATCTTCAATTATTATGTTTAATTTCTATAAATAAACCAACTGGTTAGGTGAAACATTGTGATATAAGATTTTATTTATGTGTCCTATGCGTACACTTTAATATACAAAACACCTGGAACATTCTTTAAATAATTGTGGTCGTAGAAATAATTGTGTACATAACTCGTTTGAAAGTGTATTTTATGCACTTGCCAAATATATTATCCATACAGATTAATCAGACTATTTTTTTACTTAACTTCAGTACATCTCTTACTACTAAAACTATTTTTATCAATGGAAAAAAAGGGCCGTGTTCTCGTATGTTTTGACGCATTTTCGGCCTCAGCCCATCGGATCCCCCTCTAAATACATATGAATTTTGCTTAGAATTGCTAATCCTACAATTCTCTATTCGTGCTTGCTGACTGGGAAAATAAATATCGAAAATCGTCACTGTCTCCTGGACTATACAATAGATGATGATGAGAACTTTACAACAAATACACTTTTATGAATGGCTAGTTGGGGATGTGGATACTCTCGACTGTGTGGAGTTTATGATGTTCTCTTTTTATACTACAAGCGTGTTTCATTGGTAAAGGGACTCCCTTTAACCTTGGATAGAGACCACTGAGGTGCTTCCAAATAACCTATACTTAATGGATCTTTCGACCTTTATAGCCGAGATACAGGGTGTTTTATCAATTTGGCCTAATTCTTTCCAGACTCATAACTTATTAACCATCCTGTATATGTTTTTGATATTTAACGTACTTATTCACCGTAACTTACCAAATCTAAAAAGGTATAAACAAGAAACGAAATCCACGTCCGTCTTTACAAAAAATTAATGAATTCGTCCATCCTTAAAACAACATCCTGTATGTCTGAATTTTAAATTTTTGTTTTCATATTTAAAAAGAGCACAAAAAACTGAATCCAATAATGTACATTTTATTTTTGCGCAGACGATTTTACTACTGAAATTATAAGTCCAAATTGTTATTTTTGAGCATTTTGGAGGTACAAACTGGAAACGGACGGAGTTTTATTAATTTTATTACGGTATATTTAAAATTATTTAAAGAAGTATATTTCTAAAAGCTACAGATATGTCAATACTTATAATTGTATGCATCTATGCCATTTCAAAAAATAATTTCAGGTCCGGTTTTAGGGCCAAAAATCAGAATTATTTTTTTTTCGACCGCACCCTGTATAAATTATTCCATGTAAGTTTTAATACATAGTATGTAGGATAATAATATGGAAAGAGACTAACATTCAATAGAACAAATAATAACATTTACAACTAAAGGAAAAACACATAAATAATAACTAATTAATACATAATAAACAAATCAAAATAACAACTAATACTGGTAATACAAAGAAATACAAATGTTGGAAATGAAGTATTAAACCTTATTGCTACTAAAAACTACAAGAGTTGTTTAAAATGACCTCCATTTTGTTCGATGCATTTTCTTGCTCGTTTTAAAATATGGTTGACGGCTTTTGTGAGTACATCCGGATTATTTTTCATTTCTTCGCACGCGTTTTCTATCCTCCCAACTAGTTCTTCCGTACTATTTATGTAAGTGGAATATACTTTTGTTTTTAGATGTCCCCAAACGTGGTAATCCAGCTCGGTGGTCTCCATCCATGGTCAAAGGGAGTCCCTTTACCAATGAAACACCCTGTATATACTTGTTTAGAGACCTTGGATCCATACATAGTCTGATTTTTCCATTTGGTTTTTTGACTAGGATTATTGGGTGTACTCACTCAGTAGGCTCCTCTGTTTTCTTTAGAAGCCCTTCCTGGGCCACCTTGTCAATTTCTGTTTTTTTTTTTGGTTTCTAAGTGCATGTGGAATTTTTTTTTTCACAACTTACAGTTGGTGTTGCATTTTCTGCTAATTTAATTTTGTATTTCTGTCTTGGCTTTCCTAAGCCTTGGAAAATATCATTGTACTCCTTAATTATTTCTTTTGGATATTCTCTAATATTGGTGATCTCATCAATTTCTCAACTCATAAGCTTAAATGTTTCCATGCTTTGCAATGACATTATTGAAGTTCTGTTTTCTACAGTTATAAAATATTCTAGAATATGTGTCTGATTATGTAACTTTGTACTGGGCTTAACTATTCCCACAATAGGTATTTTGTGGTTTGTATAGCTAGATAATGTTCTATCTATTTTTTGATTTGTAATGTCTCATACACCTTTTTGAATAGTAAGTTTACCTATGAGCCTGTGTCCACTTTGCATTTAATTGTCTTTTCATTTATTTCTATATTTTCATACCACTCTTCTGACAAATTAGCAACTATTTTCTCTTCTGGTTAATTTCGAAGGCAGCTCGAACATTTTTTTTTTTATCTTCTTCATAGTAATTTATTTGTTCTATTTCATTCACAGATGATATATTTGACCTGCACATATTTTTGCATTTTCTACATGTACTACATTTTTTTGATCCTTGGTTTTTCTCACATCTTTTACAGTAAAATCTTTGTACTTCTTTCTTCTGTCTATCTCTATACTGCTTATTTTCTCTTTTTTTATTATGTTTACTTTCTGGGTTATTGTTGGCTCTGCAGACATAACTTGCCTTTGTGTTTTTGCCATTTCTTCGGTTCTGCAGATTGTTATAGCTCTATCAAGTTGAAGATCACTTTCTTTTAGAAGTATGTGTCGAGTGGTTTGTTCTTTTACCCCTCATAAGATTCTGAAGGCAATTAGTTCATCTAAAATTGCTCCAAACTTACAGTCCTTAGCTATGATCCTCAGAGTGGTAATAAATTCACCTATTGGTTGATTTTCCTTCTGTATATTAGTAAAGAATTTGTATCTGATATGGGTAGTGTACTTATACGACTGAAAATGATTGGTCACTGTATCCAGTATAGCTTTTACAGTTATGTCATTATTAGCTACATCTTGGCCCTCGGTATTCACGCAATGAAACGTGTTATATAGTTCTAGTCCAGCAGGTCCTATAACGTGGAGTAAGTTCTCTGTTGGGATATAAATTTGGTGCCAAGTGCTACCACTTCCATGAATATTTGGAATAACTGTCGCCATTTCTCACAGTTTTCGGCTAAGTTGTTTCCCATAATGAAAGTATCGGGAGGTTTAAATGCAATTTTCTTTCTGTTACCGGTACGACGTTTTTTATTTCTCTTTTTTTATTGTTACTTTTCTTCCCATTAAACAGATTATTAGGTTCTTTTACGCTGTCACCATGTTACATATATGTTGTTGTAATTAAATGAAACTATTAAATTACATTTCAAATGAGGTCTTTATTTTTATGTCGTTAAGTCAAGCCGATACAAGATAAGATGGCGTATGTCATATATGACATGACCGATGACAAATAGAACTCATAGTTCATGGTATAAAGGTTAAGCTCAAACTACTTAATGCATATGTTACAATTGTTATTCAGATTCCAATAGGTATTAGAACAAATCATATCATAAAACAAGCTATTTTATGTCAGTTATTTTTACATCTTTAATATTTACGTCAAGATAACAGAGAGTTGAAGTAGTTCCAGTACGTTAACGTAAACGTCAATGCAAAAATATAATTAGGCATTCCAAACAAATGAATTACCAGTGGGCAGGTTTGGTATATCTAAGGGTGGTGACATATGGTGTATTCTATCTACTTTACGTAAAATCATGAATAATGGATTACATTTAAATATTTTATGTCAAACACAATAAAAATAATATTTAAAAAACCTACCTATACATTTCTTCATAAATTGACAGGCTTGGCGACTACTACTTCGAATAAAAATAGCGTTCAAGTTGCAAGACTATGTCGTTACCCCCCTTAGATATACAAGAATTTCCCACTGGCACATAATGTTTGACAGGTCGTTGGAATGCCTAATTGTTTACGTTGAAGTCCAAAATCTGAGTTGAAGTTGTTAAAAGCATCGTGACATTCACCTGCCATGACAGATAATGACAATTAATATCAGGATTTCTTCTTTCTCAATTAAAAAGAGTTTATTTTGTTTACGTTGCGTACATACGCCAGAGTCCGTAAGTTTACGTATGTACGTAGATGTGAACGTGAAAGATATTTAAATGCGCATGCGTAGATGTCAATTTTCTATACGTTTACGTTCATAGCATCACTTCAACTCTCTAATATTGAAAAAATCAAGTGGAGATTGTGTATATTCTCCTAAAACTAATTTGCAATTTTTTTTCTTGCTTTAGGGATTTGGCTTTATTGAACGACGATGGATATGCAGTAATCGCAGGCAGGTTAAAGGACATGATTATTAGAGGTGGTGAAAATATATATCCAAGAGAGATAGAAGACTACTTAAATACTCATCCTGATATACTAGAATCACAAGTAAGTGAAATTATCCACGGTGTCTGTAAAAGGTCTTTACAAAAACATACCACATATTCCTTAGACCAAAATAAGTCGATTTAAGTAAAATTATCTTAGTACAAAGTTGCTTCGTTTGGGCTCCAGAGGGCCTTGAAGTTACAATTTTTTAATCGTTTTTCCCATATAAATTTAAAACGACATATGCGATTTTGCTGAAATTTGGTATATTGGTAGAGTTTTATGTGGAAAAAAAAACGGTATTAAAATTTTGTCTGATAATAATAAGGCGTAGAATTTGATTTTTTAAATAATTGCATCTTTAAAAATTCTACGCCAATGGAAGAAAAGGAGTTTGAGTATGAAATTTAGATTGCGCAACTCATTTACTTTAAAAAAGATACTCCTGATAAGACTCGATTACTCTCATGGTTTTGACGAAATTTGCATTTTAGTAATTTTTAGAACATAAACAATAATTATTAAAATACAAACTTTGTCAAAACCATGAGAGTAAATCGAGTGTTATCAAGGGTACTTTTTTGTAGTAAATGAGCACCCAATTCAAATTTCATACTCAAACCCCTTTTTTGTCATTGGCGTAGAATTTTTAAAGGTGCAATTATTTAAAAAATCAAGTTCTACGCCTATGTATTATTATCGGACAAAATTTTATACGATGAAAAACATAAAAATGTACTTTTTTCATATCTTCTTCAACACCTCTAATCGAGACTTTTAACAAAAATACTCGATTCTTGCCATGTACGATTTTTTGAGGAATATTAATTATTTGCCTGCAATACGTATACAAAAACATTTATTGTTGGTTTCCATAGTTTCATCTAAATAAAAATATTGTCAAGTTTTAACACCTAATCTCTTGTTAACGATTGAAAGTGTTCTATCTGACTCAATAATTAAAAAAAACAAATGCGTGGTTTATTAATATGGCTGTACAATATACCAATGCAGAATATACCGATATGTTACTGACATTAGGATTTTGTGAAGGAAATGCTTAAGAGAGTGTCAGGGTGTACTCTAAAAGGTTTCCAAATGGTCGTGTACCTAGCCACCCAACTTTTGCTGCTGTTCAGAGACGTCTTCGGGAGACCGGTTCCTTTGCTCCCAACACTGATGATAATGGAAGAGAACGTTTTGTAAGGATTCCTGAAGTTGAAGAAGACATTTAAGAACGTGTTGAAGAAGATCCAGAATTAAGCACCAGACGAATTGGAAGGCAACTAGGAGTAAGTAAAGATGTCGTTCATAAAGTGCTTAGAGAACAATTGCTATATCCATACCATAAGAAGCCAGTACAAGAATTATTAGTCCATGATCCTCAAATTCGTTTGGGTTTTTGTCGATTTGTTAATATGCAAAGATAAAGAGATCCAAACTTTGTCAAGAAGGTTCTCTTTACCGATGAAGCGGGTTTTACAAGAAGAGGTATAACTAATACCCATAATGAACATGTTTATGCCGTTCAAAATCTGCATGCAATAAAGGTAAACCATTTTCAGCACGAATTAAAATTTAATGTGTGGGCTGGAATAATTGGTAATTTTATTGTTGGTCCTGTCATACTTTCACGAAGATTAACTGGAGAAAATTATTTGGATTTTCTACAAAATACGTTGCCAGAATTGTTAGAAGATTTACCTCTCCAACTTCGGAGAGATATGTGGTTTATGCAAGATGGAGCTTCACCACATTTTTCTTTAAACGTTAGAAACCACTTGAATGAACAATATCCACACAAATGGATAGGCAGAGGTAATGACGCACCTGTAAACTGGCCACCACGTTCCCCAGACCTAACACCGATGGATTACTTTTTATGGGGACTTCTGAAATCCACAGTTTACAGGGAATCTGTAGAAAATGAGGAACAACTCTAGCAACGTATTCAAGATGCAATAAACAATCTTAGAGGTGATGAAGAAGTTATGGAAAGGATACATTTTAATTTTCTTCGACGTATAAATCTTTGTATGCGTGAAAATGGTGAACATTTTAAACAATTTTTGTAGAATCTCTATTTTGATTATGTTGTAAATAAATATTTTTGTGAAACCTATACACCCTAACTTATTAAAACAGAAATTTAGTTAAAACCATGAGAGTAATCGAGTCTTATCAAGAGAACCTTTTTTAAAGGAAATGAGTTGCGAAATCTAAATTTCATACTCAAACTCCTTTTCTTCCATTGGCGTAGAATTTTTAAAGGTGCAATTATTTAAAAAATCAAGTTCTACGCCTATGTATTATTATCGGACAAAATTTTAAAACCATTTTTTTTTTGCCACATAAAACTCTACCAATATACCAAATTTCAGCAAAATCGCACATGCCGTTTTAAATTTATATGGGAAAAACGATTTAAAAATTGTAACTTCAAGGCCCTCTGGAGCCCAAACGAAGCAACTTTGTACTAAGGTAATTTTACTTAAATCGACTTATTTTGGTGTAAGGAATATGTGGTATGTTTTTGTAAAGACCTTTTACAGACACCCTGTATATTGTTGGATACGCTGTACATATTTTTTTAGTTTTGTCATACTTGATAGATTTTATTTATTTCATTGTCATTGTCATGTTTTGGAATTAAATGTTAAACAATTTATTAGTATTTTAATGTTGTTGTTAGTGGAAATACATATTTTTTTATTACACAGTAAATAGCTGTCTCCTTTAGTTGAATGTAAATAATTATGAAGTTAATTACTACTTGTTAATATGTTTTGTCAGTTCAAAAATAAGAAACCCAACGTGTTAACCTTGTGGAACCCATGAGGTATTAAATAAGAATTTCACCTTCTACCCAATGAGCACACACTCGTTTGTTCAAAGTAAATATAACGTTATATAGCATAAAAAAACTTTATCGGTTGAAAATTCAACGTTAAAATTTTAATTGAAAAATTATATGTATAAAAAATACTACTTTCAAACCTATTTTTTTAAACTTAAGGTTTATTTCGGCCTGACGTGAAATGATTAGATTTTGGACAAAGTCGGAACATCTGGGGGGTACTTCATAGGAGGCCGTTTTTATATTTTATGGAATATATCTGTTATTTATGTTTGGGGAAGAAAATTGTTCAAATAAAAGTTACTACTAATAATATTATCTATATTTTTTGCTTTATGTCAAAATTTTCTGAAATGGTCTGTATTCGAGAAATTTGACAAAATGTGGAAAATTCTGATTTTTATGAAAATTGTTGAACTAAAAGTTGTTTGCGATATCGATCTCTATAATTTTTGTTTATATAGGATTTTTCTAAAATGGACCGTAATGGAAAAGTGCTAAATTTAAATTTTTCAGTATTTTCGTTTTCAATGAATATCTATAGAAAAATGTTTCGAGGTAGATGTATTTGGACAATGTATATATTTAATTTATTTTATCCTCTAAACATTTATAGAGATGCTGCAATAGGTTGTACAAAATAACCATAAAAAGCCTATAATAACTAGATAGAAAAGTCATGTGTTGGACACATCAGATTTTTCAATATTCAGTCCATTCGAAACTACAATTTAGGTTGAAACACATTCATCCATAGTTTTTGGTTCAACGAGCCGGATATAGGCATATCTGCGCCAAATACATTTGCAATTCAACCTAGACATTGGTATCTGGCGTGAGACTGAAACTCAAGGCGAGGACCAGGTATTAACACTGCTAGACAGGTATAAAATCAGAGAAAGGGCGAGTGAGTCTTAATATGATAATCCTGGTTCTTTATCATGTCAGACAAAAAAAAATCAAAATACAAAGACTTGGTAATTCAAAAAAGAGATGCTATATTTGCAAACATTGAGTGTTTTAAATCATGGTTAGAGCAAAATCCAAATCCAAAGGGTATTTGAGTTAAAAATCAAACGGTCTAATTTAGAAAATCAATTTATATAATTTGAATAGACAAATAAAAATAGACGCAATTACAATGGTTGTTGATGACGAACAAAGGGTTTTCTTTGAAGAAATTTATTATGAAACATTATCACATGCGGATGAAATTTTAGAGAAATTTAATGGTGACACAGATAGGTTGCCAAAAATAAAATTACCACCGATTAATATTCCAATATTTAATGGTAGTATTTATAAATCGGACAATTTTAATTATCTACTTCAGTCATTAATTGAGCATAATGTCAAACTGAGAACAGTTCAATAGTTTCAATATCTAAAACCATCATTAGATGGAGATGGGTTGAAAATTTTATTAAATAGAACGTAGACATTTTTTAGACACGTTCCAAACACATATTGGTGCCTGAACAGCCGTAGGGTTATCAGACAAGGCAATTTTAGATTTAATCTTGATTTCACTTTTGTCCTTAAAGTTGGATAAAATCACGCTAAAACAGTAGGGATCAAAGGTTTCAGAGAAACAGGATTTACCCACTTATGAATTCTTCTGTGATTTTTTAGGACAAAAATTTAATTCTTTGGAAGCATACAAAAGAAATGTAGCATTAGGTCAGGGTCAATCTTCTCAAGTATATTCACAGTCGCATACAAAGAATCAGTCAGGCCAAATGCAGAACATTTACACAAACAAAACTGATAATAAACCACATCATTCTAATACATTTATTGCTACACAAGCAAGTTCACAGCTATAAGCCACACACATTTTTATTGATCAAGTGAAAAAATTGAAGCTTTGTTTGAATTGTCTTGCAAGTGGTCATTTTTCACATCAGTGTAAGTCTGGTTTATATAAAAAATGTAATAAAAAACAACAGTTTGTTACAAATAGATAACTACTTAGATGAAAATAAGTCTCAAACAGTAACTTACACATGTCAAGAGGTTGTTCAGACAGAAGATTCTGCAATTCCTCTAGAACATTCACAACTTGCAAAAAATAACTTGCTTTAGACTTCTTATACATTACACTACCAGTTAAATGAGGTCGTGTCACATTTCAGCCCTTTACAAATTTTATTGGGCACTTCACTTGTAAATGGTAACACTGTCAATTGTATAGGATCTCAGT